CCCTCGGATTAGTAGCTGACTTATCACCTACCTAAGTAGTTCGTAGGCCGGCAGTTCGTGCTAACCTCGGGAGAAGCCGGCAGTATAGAGGACACCTTGGAGACGCCATATGCTGTATGTCGCTTGCTCGGCTATTTCGCTTAGTACGCAAGTTCTCTTCCTTATAATGTTTGTCTAAGCCTATGTACTAAGGCGCGAAGCGTTCGGGGGCCAACAAAGATATTCGGGATGACTTCTTTTGACGAACCTAGGAAAGCCAAGCTTGCAAACCTTTGGGTTCGCAAAGCTTTTCGTGCGTTTTTTTGTGACAGCTTCTTAAATTATCTCAAGTCCGTTCCGTTAGGACACCACCGCAAGCAACATTATTTGTCTGTGTGTCTCTTCCGCTTGCTACGCAAGCTGTGTCATAGCGGACCGGCGACGGAGCCTACGTTTTCATGTATGTCGCTTGCTCGGCTATCTCGCTTAGTACTTCGTGAGGCTGATGTTAGGAGACGCCATACGGCTGGCGAGTTCGGCGAGGTCCCGTTGGAGTGGGCACTCCTGTCAAAAGAACGAGAAAATGTTGAACGAGAAAATGTTCGCACACCTCCGCAGATCCACATCGCTTGGGTAACTTGATTGACCGGGCAACCAGGTCGACGCCACCAGGCCGGCATCCTCCCAGGTCGGCTCCCTCCTTTGTCGATCTCCTCCCGTCGACCACAGCGGATCTGGGCCGCCGACTTCGCAAGGTCGGCGACATCCCCAAGTCGGCGCCCCCCCCCCCCCTCCCAAGTCGACGACCACCCTCGTTGACCACGGTTGAAGTCGGCCGCTGGCGCCCGTCGTCGACGGCTTCGCAGTGGCCCCGTGCAGGTTGACCGACATGTCGACCTGCGCGCTCATGTCCGCGTCGCCCACTGCAGTTGGTAGGCTGCACTCTCCGCACACCCGACTACGAAGTCGGCTCCGCCCAAGCGAGGACGGGCCAACGCACAACTGCAGTTGACAGAGGCGTCGTGCTCGATGGTCGACGTTGTGGAGTCGACCGTATCGTCGGCATCGTAGACTGGCGAAGACTTCAAGGCGATCGCGGCCGCTATGCAGGCGAACCCGACGGTGGTGCTGGTGGCTGCTCTCACCACCTGATGGCGACAAAGGAGGCCTTGTCGACATGTGTCAGAATGTGATGTTTGTCTAGCCTGCAGTGGGGTACTCTATAGCGAGTACAGCCCGAATTAGGGTTTGCTATATGTACTCAACTGCCTGCTAGTGAAAACCTCTCTTTCCTGTTTCTCGTTTTCGCCTGCTGTTTCGACATGCTATCAGAGCAGGTCGACCCTCCTGGGTCGATCCTGTGGGTGGTCCCATCCGATGCTTCCGCTGCTGTCCTGCCTATCGCACGCCCCGGGCGTGCGGAGTTTCCTGCCTGCCGCGCGCTTAGGGCGCGCGGCATTTTTTCTTCCCGCCGCGCGCCCCGTCGCCCCGCGCGTCGCCCCCCGGAGCCCCCGGGGACCCGCGCGTCGCCCCCCGTCGCTCGACGCGGCCCGCGCGACCTGCGCCAGTCCCGCGCGCGGCCCGTACGGGCTGCGCCAGGCCCGCGCGCGGCCCGTACGGCCTGCGCCAGGCCCGCGCGCGGCCCGTACGGGATGCGTCAGGCCCGCGCGCGGCTCGGGCAGCCCGCGTGCGGTTCGTCCCGCCTGCGCCAGGCCCGTGCGCGGCCCGTACGGTCTGCCCCGGTGCCGCACGCCGTCCCCCGAGCTTCTGACCGCGCCCCACCCCCGCTGCTGCCCGCGCTCCTGTGTTAGGGTTTGGGGGTGGACAGTATGGGGGTGCCGGGTGTGTGAGCCGTCCCCTACTCCTCCTCCTCCGTCTCCCACTGCTGCAGCTGCCGCTGAGGGGGGTGGATGGGTTGGTGCCGTCGGAGTGGTACGAGGGGGGTGGCGTGTGAGCGGTGCTAGAGGTTCAACAAGGGGTGTGTGAAAGGGGTGTGGGATAGTTGGGGGAGGTTGACCGGAGGTTGCTGTTGTGACGTCTGCAGCGCCAGTAGTCCGGGGGTTGAGTACTCCGGTAGCCCAGCGAGCCTGCTGCTGCCAGTCGTCCGTGGGTCTGTTGCTCCTGCTGCTGCTTAGCGCGGAGCCAGTTACTCCTGTAGTCCGGAGGTTGAGTGCTCCTGTAGCCACCGTGCGCGCCGTTCCTGTTGCCCGTGTGTCTCCGGCTTCACCCGTCTCCTTCTATCTTCACTCCTCTCACAGTCTCTCCTCCTCCTCACTTGCCCTCTGTGACTGCCTCTAGCTTTGCTTATCATTGTGAACTATTGCTCTATGACTGTTTACTGTGCTGATTATACCCCACTTTGACTATGGGGGTGTGTCAGAATGTGATGTTTGTCTAGCCTGCAGTGGGGTATTCTATAGCGAGTACATCCCGAATTAGGGTTTGTTATATGTACTCAACTGCGTGCTAGTGAAAACCTCTCTTTCGTGTTTCTCGTTTTCGCCTGCTGTTTCGACAACATGCAACCCAGGGGCGACGTGCGTCACGTGCGTGGCTTCAACGGGGCACTAGAGATCGTCGAAGGCCGTGGCACCGTCGCTCTGCACATGGAGGCCGGGAAACAGGTCCTCATCCCCGATGTGCTCTACGTCCCGGGAGTGCACGCGAACCTGCTGTTGGTCGCCCATCTGAAGGACATCGGCGTGAGACTGCAGGACGCGGGCGACGAGATGCTGCTCGTGTCGTGTGCGGGCGAGGTGCTCGGTCAAGCACGCTACCGTACACTGGCTGCGTCCTCTGCACAGACTTTCGCCCCTGCTCGACGAAGCCGATGTCGATCTCGACGGAGGTCGTGACTCGGCGGACGATTGTTCCACGACGGCGGACGATTGCTTTTACGACAAAGTAGACGCCGAACAGCACGCGAAGCTCGCGGACGTCGGCGTCGACACGATCAAGAGCTCGGCCTTGTTATCAAAGCGTCGGCATATGTCGACTTGCCATGTGTTTCGTGCGTCAGCTGTAAGTTAGGCACATTACCGTCTCCCCCCGGATATATCCCCATGGGGGGCAATAATAAAACAGGTTTTTTCAGGGGGGTGGGCTTATAATCGAGTAAATTTATTAGCGCCGGCGTTTATAAAATGACATATATATTTTTTATATCTTTTAACACCAAACTGTAGGTCTCGTGCTTGCCTTTTCAATCGAGTCGGAGTTACATGGGGTCGTCTGTGAAATTCTCGCGCGCGCTGGGAGATACACCCAATCTGACTCACATCTAGCTCCTGACAGCTCCTAACAGCTCCTGCTGACTGGACCCACATCCAGTGCAGGGTCCGAATGTGAAGGGAACCGAATCTGCAACATATCCGCCTGCTAAAGTAAAAATCGTTACAGCGTTCTGAACACATTTCAAATTTTATAGTTTACGTGCGCTTATAATAAAACAAGTTTTTTCAGCGGGTGCGCTTATAATCGAGGAGGGGATATAAGCGCCATATGCCAATTAGAAGCGCCAGGCGCTTATCCTAGGGTGGCGCTTATATCCGGGGGGTGACGGTATATGAGGGTGTCCTGCTTCAATACCAACCGTGCTAGGCAATCTGCTTCTAGGTTTAAATACCGTAAGCCCCCGGATAGAAGCGCAGGCCTCGGATAAGTGTCGGCGCTTGTAAAAGGATGAGGGCGCTTATATCCGGTCCTCGATTATAAGGGCACCCCTAAAGACTTACGGATTATAAGCGCCACCCTCTGAATTATTTTTAATATTTTTACTGGAAACGCTGTAACGAAACACAATTTTTGCATCCCCACATTCAGAAAGTCGAATCCCTTCACCCTCGCGCGACTCAATGCCTTCGCGTCCAGTCAGAATGACCTGTCATGGGGTCAATCTGACTCATTCTGACTGTGCGTGTTGGCAGAGAATCAGCCACTGCCAATTTACGCGAGATTCACATTCCAGCCCTCTACAATATCGATTCGATTCAAATCGCAAGGACGAGATGAACACTTTGGTGTAAAAAAACTAGATTTCATATATGTCATTATATAAGCCCCGGCGCTTATAAAAATCCTCAATTGTAAGCCCACCCCCTAAAAAACAGTGTTTTTTTATACCCCCAGGGGCGCTTCTATCCGGGGGCTGATGGCAGGCATTTGTATCACAACTGTTACTAATCATTCCTTTCCACTGTTCACATTCTGAGAAGCCTGGTCTGTAACCTCCACTCATCTGTAAAGGTATGTTTGTACGCCGCTTATCAGGGCATGTTCCTCGTATCAGGGACACCTCGTATCAGCTTCGGATTTTTGCCTGGTAAAATTTGCGAAGGTTTTTGGGTTTAGGGAAATTTCAGTGTGCTGTGACGCTGGCCTAATAAGTGGTAGGAACATGCTCTTAGACACATCTTGACAGCTATGTGTGGTTAAATATGTTTCAGTGTAGACAACTTGCGGTTACGTGCGTTTTTTGTACGGTTCGATGCGAAGGTGACAACAGGTTTGCCTGACAAGGGGTTGTAACATCACGCCCTAACACACTCGCATAACCACCATCAACTATACACCCGCATACATCATCATCCTTGCTCTCCCAGTCATCCGACCTACATCCAGCATTGCTCACTCCCACAGCTTCTCCACTTCCTAGCTGCACATGCTTGCTGTGATTTACAATGCAACAAGCTTCTGCCCATCGAGCTGCCTGCACCCTGAGATGTAACCCAGCCTGCGCAAGAACCAAGCCTACTCCCAAGTCATTCACCCACACCTGCACAGCACACTACTCACACTCTCATCCTCACTCCTCCACTCTCTCACTCTCTCCCACTCTCTCCCAATCTCTTCCACTCTCTCCCTCACACCACACCAATCAGCATCACTCCTTGCTGGCCATCTGCTCACTGAGCTCCCACAGTTTCCCAGCCAGCCCTTTGTCCTTGCTCAGAACCGCCCCTTGCTCCTTTAGACGCCTCAAGAACCATTTTTGAAGCGTATAAAAAACACACCAATCAGCATCACTCCTTGCTGGCCATCTGCTCACTCAGCTCCCACAGCTTCCCAGCCAGCTCCATGTCCTTGCTCAAAACCGTCGCCTTGCCCTCAGCTGCCCGCGCGTCTGCGTAGTAGCCCCCACTTGCACCCGCCACTGAGGGGTGCGCCGCCAGGAAGCATGAGGTGGCCGCACCCTGAGGGAAGGGAGGAGAGGAGAGTGGGGAGAGGAGGATACGGGGCGGTCAGGTGGAGGTGCGAGGAGTGTGTAGGGGGGGGGGGGGGTGGGGGGGCGAGGCACAGGGTGTGTGCCTTGAGGCGGCACGATGTGAGAGTGGCTTCAGAGAGAGAGTGTGTGAGAGTAAGAATGGGCGGGGGGGAAAGGTTGAAAGATGAGGGAGCATGAGAAGTAGCCTCACTGGGCTTTGTTGCAGGGAGTGTCCACATGAGCATGGGGATAAGTTGGAACAACCATGCATGGGGATGTGCCCACACCCCCAACCATGCATGGGTACGTGCGGGCACCCAACCATGCAGCAGTAACTGAGGGTGGTCGTGAGGTCAGGTGAGGTGAGGTGAGGTGAGGTGAGGAGGGGTGAGGAGGGGTGAGGGGTTGGTGAAAGCAGAGACAGCTCTTCTTCAATCGCTCTCAAATCGCTCTTGCAGCAGGGTTGGTTGGAGGCATATCAGTAGGGTGCAGAGTAGTAGAGAGTGTGTGCAGTGCGGTGAAGAGCTACTTCAACCACTCCTCTAAGGTGATGTACGGTGAACCGCGGTGAGGCGTGGTATAAAGTGGGTGGAGGTGGAGGGTACCTGAGGAATGGTCTTCATGAACCACTGGAACACCAGGCTGTACGCTCCCCCTGGTGGTTGCACAGCATGGCAAGGCAGCAGTGGACAGGCACAAGCACAGGACGAGTGGTAGTATGACAACAATGGGTGCTCAGCCAAGCCGATGCAGAAGCAGGCTGCAAGCAGCGAGCAAGGATTACTGTGGATGAAGCAATCAAGCATGCTGGTATGTCCAAGATAGTGCCAAACAGCTTCCATCAACCCATCCGCCCCTCAGAAGCCTCACCTCCCCCTCTTTCCACCCCACCCACCCACCCACCCACCCACCCATCCCATGAACTACGTCCCAAGGTGTGCCAGACAGTTCCCGATAGCACTCTGGCATGGAGGCACGAAAGGCGTTGCCTTGTCCCACAAGGTTACATTAGGTCCGCGGAACCCGTAATCCCCCGACCAAGGGCCAGTCCGACGAACCAGGTCCAAACCACGTCTCACTTGCTTTCGCAGACTGGTCTGACAGACCATCATCAACCCCAGCCATTTTCCGTGGCGGACCTGCAGAAGTGGCTCAGACCCGAACGTACCAGGCCTCGGACCAGTTGTGTTACATGGTAGCTAGTTAGTGCACTTGCCTGGTCTGTGAGCTGGCTCACAGCTGGTTCACCCTGGTCCGCAGTTTGTACTGCTTGATCCTCAGCAAACAAGGGGTTCTGCAGACCCAATGCGGCATGCCCTCACGCACTCTGCCCTTCCCACCCATCCCCCTACCCACCCACCCACGCACCCGCCCAACCACCCACCCACCCGCCCAACCATCCAGCCCACGTACGTCCGAGGGTGTGCCACATGGTCCCCGGCGGCGCTATGTAGCGTGATAGGTTGGTGTCAATTACCCCCGGGTGCAACGCGTTCACTGTCACACCTGCACCCTCCTCCTGCTCGCATGGAAAAAGGGAGAGGAGGCGAGAGAGGGGAAGGGGGAGGGTGAGGGAGAGTGTTGGTGAGGGAAGTGAAGGGTTCTTATTGTTCAAGGATCAATCACCCCCAGGTAGAGAGCATTCACAGTCATACCTGCACTGAGGTTTTCGAAAGGGAAGGGTTGGGAGTATACATGTGCAAAGGGGCGAGCCGAGTAATGCTCGACTCGTCCCTAGCCTTGCTCGGCCGAGTACGAGCCCGAGTCGAGTAATATTCGACCGAGCATTTTTACACCAAACAGAAACTCGTTACTCGCCTTATATAAGGGAGCTCGGGCGATCATTTAGAAAAGCTCGTACGAGTACGAGCAATACTCAGCCATGTGCACTACTCCTGCATAGAACGACTCTGTACATAACAACTAGTGAAGGCCATTCGTACCACATAAGTATTGGGGTTTCCAAGGCCGCCCAGGCAAACCCAAGGTGGTCCCAAGGAAGCCTAGGGAAGCCCAGGAAAGCCCTGGGTTGCCCTGGGTAGCCCAGGTAGCCTTGGGTTGCCGCGCTAAGCCCATGGAAGCCTGCTTAGACCTGGATAGGCGAGTACTCGTCGAGCAAAAAAAACCCGGCGAGTAAACCCCGGCGAGTAAAACTCGGCTCCACTCGCCCGCGTAACATTTACAAAAAAGCAAAACTCATTACTCGCACCCAAACGAGTAACTCGGGCGATACCGAGCGAGTATCTCGTCTCGTTGCACAGGTATAGTTGGGAGAGTGGGGTCGAAAAAGAAGAGATATTTGGTGAAAGATTTGAAACTGGCATGTAAACGTGCCTTTTGGGTGCGTTTCCCTTGCTTACATCTTCCCTTCCCTCCCACTCATTCACACACTCGCGCACACACCCGCGCACGTACATACCCACCCATCCACCCACCCACCTACACACACACACTGACACTCACACGACACCCACACACCCACTCCTTCAAGCATACCCCCCTCTCCCACAGCCATGCACCTTGAGCCTCCTTGCGAGCTCCCGAGCGTGCAGGATATTAGCGAGCTTGGACTGCCCGTACGCCTTCATGGAGTCGTACCCCTCCCTCCTTGGCGTTGATGGCGTCAAAGCGGATGCCGCCCGGGTACGGGAACTGGTGGGCGGCGGACGACACGACCACAATGCGCACCTCTGCGCCCTCCTGCTTGGCCGTCTCCTTGAGCTTTGGCAGCAGCAGGTTGGTCAGCAGGAAGTGGCCTGCAATGGGTAGGGCGTGCAATGCAATTGGGTGGGGGATGTGTGCAGGGGAAGGGGGAAAGGGGATGAAAGGGAAGAGAGGGGGAGGGGGGCGGAAAAAAGAGGGAGAAAAAGGCGGTGGAGATGTGGTGTGATCAGCCTGAGAGCCTCATGAGCCTGGGAGGGAGGGAAACAAATGCACTCAAGCCTACGAAGAGAACAACCAGCTGCTAAGACTCACTCGCACCACTCCCTCCCTCCACTCACACGGCGCACTGCCACCCCTGCTGTGCGCTGGCTGGGACCTGCTTGCTTGCCTCACCCACATGGTTGCTGCTCCCCAACACTTACCCACGTGGTTGCTGCTCCCCAACACTTACCCATGTGGTTGCTGCTCCCCAACACTTACCCACGTGGTTGCTGCTCCCCAACACTTACCCACGTGGTTGCTGCTCCCCAACACTTACCCACGTGGTTGCTGCTCCCCAACACTTACCCACGTGGTTGGTGCCGAACTGGTTCTCATACCCGTCCGCTGTAAGCATGAACGGGCATATCATCACGCCCGCGTTGTTGCTGCCCAGTGGAGTGGGGTGGGGAGGGGTTGGGTGAGGTTGGATGGGCCGTGGTGGGATTGGTGGGGAGGGTGAGGGGGGGTTGTGGGATGGGGGATTGGTGGGGAGGGTGAGGGGGGGTTGTGGGATGGGAAGCGAGGAGGGAAAGGGGACAGTGGGGTGGGTGCGTCGAGGGGGGGAAGGGTTTGGACGAGCAGATGAAGTAAAGAGGAAAGGTAGAATGACTGGCATAATAGGTGGATAGGCAGGGAGGCAGGGAGGGAGGGAAGGAGGAAGAGGGAATGAGGGAGCGAGGGAAGGAAGGAAAGAGGGAGGAAGGAAGAAGGCAGGTGTGTTGATGGGGCACACCAACAGCAGGTCATTTCAGACGCAACTTCAGCTCTCCCCCGGCCACAAGGCCCCCACCCTTTCCCCTTCCATTAATCCCCCCCTTCACCTCCCCCTCCCCCCTACCCCTCCCCCTGCCCCTCCCCCCTGTATCACCTCGTGCCCCTTCCTTTCTCCCCCCCATCCCTCCCCCTTCCACATCCCAGACTCCCCCTCCCCCTCCCCCTCCGCGCGCACATGAGCAGGTGAAGCGGGCGGTTGAGGCGCAGATTGTCCGCGGCGAACACGCTCACCGACTTGAGCGACGCCAGATCCAGAGGCATCACGCTCACGCGCTCGCGCACCGCCGCCGGAACCCCCGCCGCCTCCGCGCATCGCGCCTTGATGTCTTTGATGATGGCGGCTTTGGCGGCCTCCCCCGCCTCCGTGTTGCGCACGCGCCTCGCAGCGCTGTCTCCGCGCCGCTGCTGGCGCCTTGGGGGGAGATCCGCGCGGGGGGGAAAGGGGATTCACCGGGGAGGAGGAGATTCGCAGGGGCAGGGAAGCGGGGGGGGAAGAGGGGGGGGGGGGGAGGGGAGAGGGGGGGGGGGGGGAAGGCGCGAGGGGGGGGGGGAGGGGGGGGGAGGGAGGGAGGAGAGGGGGGAAAGCAGGGGGGAGAGGGATTGCGCGCGGGTGAGGAGGCACGCAGGGGGGAGAAACCTTATTAGAAAGGAAGAGGTTCGCATGCGGAGCAGAGCTGGGTGCGCGTGGAGGAGGAACGGAGAAAAGGGGGAATCGTTTTTCACACATGACAAGAAGAACCCTCCATACACTTTCCACGAATGACAAGGAGGAGGAAAGAGGAGCCTGAGTCTAGGGTGGAAAAGAGGAGAGAAGGGCGAAATCTGGGCGACGACGAGCGGACGAGCAAGATCAGAAACGGCGACACAACCAAGACGTGGAAGAAATGCGCGTGGTAAAGCGCCTCGGGTGGAAGCTAGGAAAGAACGTGGAAGGGGAGTCGGAGAGAACGTCGCACGCCGCCGTTGCGCGTGCTGCTGCCGTACCTCACAGCTACGGTATCGCGTCCGTGCCAACCCCACCCCCAGCCCCCTTCCTCCTCTCCTCTTCCCCCTCCTCTCATCCCCCATTCCCCTTCCCGTACCATTCTGTTCCCACCTTGCTGTTCCCCATTCTCTCCCACTTCCTCTCCGTTTTCTTTTCCCTTTCCTCCTTTCCTCTTCCTTTTCCATTCATATATCGCCTAAACCCTAAACCGGAGTCTCCATTCCCCCAAATTGCCTCATCCTTCCTAACTTTGGTTGGGTGTTACCAAGTTGATGCTCATAAAAGGGACACGCCCTGACTACTTCACAAACCGTCTCGGTAGCTTCGTTTCTCGAAATTACTGCACTGGCGAAGACGATTTCTTTGCTTCCATGAAGTGTGGCGCGAAGGATTTCCTGAGTTGCATCCCCAATTTGGCAACATTGCCGAGAGTTCTCCGCGACTCATGTCACGTCAACCGATTTCGAGGGTGACCCTGTTTCGCGGGCCAATCCTTTTTTCCAGCACGATTGCCACTTTGCCGCTCAAATCGACGCCCTCCGTCACATCTTCCGCCGTCGACCGGTACCCGAACTTTGACAGATCGGCAACCGCTGACGTTGATGGACCGGAGGCGGAAGCCGCATAAAGGCGTGGGCGCGCGGAACCGAGAGGATCAGAGTGGGCGCGAGGGGTATGGCGCAGCGATAGTGTCGCATGGAACTTCCGAGATGGTGACGAAAGACGATAAGTGGTGACGGGGAGAGAGGACCCACGAGAGACGCGGTGCCGAGACCAGGAACCATGCTCTGAACTGAACTAGACGGAGTACGCTCGCTGCTGGGGTGGTGGCGCGGCGACGAGAAATTCGCTATTCGATAATGCCGCGACTCGCTAAATGGAGTGGTAACAAGAAGCTAACCACCGGATGACATGCATTGGGGAATTCAATGTTGTTTGTCTCCGTTACCCCCTAGTCATCACAACTAGCACATCGAAAATCTGGAGGCGGCTACGGAGGGGTGCGTGGTGCGTGGCTGGCGGAAAATTAGTGGTGCGTGGCGAAATGGTTTTGAGGCGCCTCAAGAATCGTGGCAGGGCGGTACTTCACACAAGCCATCATGCAGCAACAGCTCTTGCTCTCAATGCCAACATACGGCACACACGCGTACTTTCAGAATTACTTATGAAGCAGTATTACGTGCTCGCCTCCTCATTCCTCCCCCTCCCTCCCCATCCCACCCCACCTCTTTCCTCCCATATCCCACCCCTCCCAGGAGGACGGCTTCCGGCCTGGGCTGGTGGGAGGGCTGCTGGCGTGCGAGCGAGTGCTGGCGATAGTGGCAGGGCGGTACTTCACACTCGCCATCACGCAGCACGGCCGCCTCTTCACCTGGGGCATCCCCCCAGCATCCAGCCCCCACCCGCCCGCCATGTTCACGTCAACCACGCGGCGCCAGCCCGGCGGCGGGGGCAGGCACCGCGGGCTGTTGACTCTCAACTCGGCCTTCCACGCGTCCGTCCCCTCGGGCGCCTCGTCATCCGCCGCCTTTCCTTCCGCCTTTCCCCCCAGCCTTCTCCGTGGGCCCCTCCTACGTGTCGCTCTCTGCCACGCCCGACCCCGCGTCGCTGTGCGCCGAGCGCGTGTTCGCGCAGCCGCCGTGGCGCGTGCGGGACGGCAGCGAGGCGGGGTACCTGTACGGATGGACGGGGCCCGCGCTCGCGTACCCCATGGCGTGGAAGCAGCCCGTTGCCCACGGCGGAAGCGCAGGGGCGGGGGCGGGGGGGGGGGAATAATTCCGCGGACGAGTTCGCGCTGGCGATGCGCGTGGGGGGCGTGCTGCAGCGCGTGGGGGTGTCGACGGTGGCGGCGAGCGGGCACACCCTGGCAGTGACTCCGGGGGGCGTGGTGCTGTCGTGGGGGCGCGACTGGGACGCGCGCACGCGCCACGCGGGGCTGCTGGGGCGCGCGGACTGCGCGTTCTGGCGGCCTGCGCCGGTGGAGGGGCTGACGGGGGAGGGTTAGGTGGTGGCGGTGGCGACAGGGCAGTATCACTCCGTTGCTATGATGGAGAGCGGTAGGGTGTTCACGTGGGGGCTCAACAACAGGGGGCAGCTGGGCCGACCAATCAAGAGCAAGGTGCGACAGGCTGAAAGGAGAAGGGGAGGTGTGGAAAGGAGGAGGGGAGGGGTGGGAGGGAGAAGAGGTGGGGAGGGGGGAGGGTTGGGAGGGAGAGAGAGGAGGCTGAGGAGGGTGGGAGGTGGTGGGAGAGGGAGCGTAGCGGGAGCACGTGGGAACGGATTTATGCGGAGTTATGAGGAGTTGTGTGGCTCTAAGTTGCCAAACAACAAAGAACAAATTGGTTGTGCATCTCTCATCACTTTTCCAACCCTTTCTACTCCTCTCAACCCTACCCTGAACACCCAACTGCTTTCTATGCTCTTCCCGTTCCCACCCACCTCTTGCACACTTTCCCATTCGCACAACAGCTTTTTGCGTGCGCTTGCAGACGGAATTGAATCACAGAAACATGTTATTGCCTCCTCATCCCTCTCCCTCCCACCTCTTCCCCTCCCTCCCACGGCCCGCGCCCCCCATACCTTCCCTCCCACACCCGTCCCACCCGATCCCACCCCATCCCACCCATCCCCACATCTTACCCCACCCCTCCCAGGAAGACAGCTTCCGGCCGGGGCTGCTGGCCCAGGAGCGAGTGCTGGCGATAGTGGCAGGGCGGTACTTCACACTCGCCATCTCGCAGCACAGCCGCCTCTTCACCTGGGGCGCCAACCTCTACTCCGGCGACGCGCCCTGGCGCCACGAGCACGACTCTGGCTTTGATAATGATGCTGATGCTGCTGCTGACGAGTTCCCAGAGAAAGCACCCGCGGGCACGGCCGGGAGCAGCAGTGAGAGGGAGGCGTGGCGGTAGCGGCTGAGAAACGCGGCTCTGGCAGCGGCCCAGCCGAGGGTGGTGGAGGCTGGGGTGGAGGGGGAGCAGGTAGTGGAGGTGGACGTGGGCACGGACCACTGGGTGGCACTCACAGGGTCGGGCATGGTGCTCGTGTGCCACACTGGGTTCACTCCTCAGGGGATTCGGGTTGACCCTGAGCAACACAGATCGTGGCTGGGAGTGGCGCTCGGGGTTCCCCTGGACCGCCCTGCTGCTGTGCGCGTGCCCCCGCATCTGGGCTCCCATCCTGCTGCTGGTGGTGGTGGAGGGGAGGAGGGGAGAGCGGTGGGGCCGGAGGTGCAGTCGGTGGCAGCGGCGCACCACACGACGTTTGCAATGACGGCGGACTACAAGGCCGTGTCGTGGGGCGAGGCGGGGCCACTGCTGGGGCGAGTGTGGGGGGACGGCCAGGGGCAGGTGCCGGCGAATCGGCCGGGGGTTGTGGGGAGTGGAGGGGGAGGAGGGGCGGCGGGAGGGGAGAGGGTGGTTGGGTTGGATCGGCAGACGGTGGAGCAGGTGTCGGCTGGGGAGGGCTTTGCTGTGGCGAGGCTGAGCCATGGCGTGGTGTACTCGTGGTGAGTGGCGCAGTCGGCAACCGGGCAGTTGGCAGGGGAGCCGACCGCAGGGGAGAAGTCGGCCGGGACGTCGACTGAGGTGCAGCAGGAAGGTGACGAAGGAGGGGACGCCGAGGAGTCCACCAAGAGCGACGTGGTGGAGGTTCGGCCTGAACCCCGGAAGTCAGGCCGACTTCGGAGGCCGCCCGACTTCTTCGTCCCCGCTGCCTTCACCACGGTGTACGACGTGGACGACGACGACCTGACGTATGACGACGCCGAGGAGGATGAGGAGTTTCCGGAGCTCGACCCCGACATGCATGCCGACCCCGAGCACCGTTGGGACATCTCGACGATGACGGTGAAGGAGGCGTTGGCGAGCTGGAAGGGCCCGGCGGTAAAGGCCGCCATGGAGGAGGAGATCCGCAGCCTCATCAACATGGGCACTTCGGAGCTGGTCGAACGCCCGCCGGGAGTAAACATCATGAAGAACCGGTGGGTGTTGACGACGAAGTACCACGTCGACGACACCGTCGAGCGCGAGAAGGCGAGGCTGGTCGTGAAGGGCTTCACCCAGGTGTATGGTGCCGACTACGACGAGACGTTCGCGCCGGTGGGCAGCTACGTCACGCTGAGGATCTTCCTCAGCATCGTCGCCGTCCTCAACCTCAACCTGATGCAGCTCGACATGAAGAACGCCGGGGGCAGACTCAGGACCAGACCTGGACGCTGCAGCAAACACCTGACCCGACGCAGCTACCTGACCAGACGCAGTGACCGGAGGAGAGTCAGTGGTCAGTGTGTACAGGCTCGACCCCGGTCGGCGGGTAAACGTGGCCAAGTGTCGGCCCGTCCGAGCACACGTGCAGTGGGTCACTCGCTGGCTCGCAGGAGTGAACTGGTGAACCCCCGCATCCTGTAGGTCAGCACCACTCACCAAGTTCGTAGAGAACGAGGGGAGGTAAAGACCAGACAGGGTGCCAGAGGGGGCCGCTGGACACGGTAGGACAGTGGAGAAGTGGGCAAGGACAGGACCCCCAGAGGGGTCTGCCAGAGAGACTGCAACTGGCCGACTAAGCGGCGTGAGTGTGGTGCGGTCTCGAAAGAAGGAGCGGGAAGCCCCCGAGTCAAGGGTGAAGGTGTGGGAGGCCGGAGCCGACGCGGTACCTGAGAGAGCAGACTCACCAGCACCTGAGGAAGCAGACTCACTGGCACCTAGAGAAGCAGCCTCACCAGCACCTAGAGCAGTAGCCTCACCAGTACCTAGAGCAGCAGTCCCAATGCCCGGGTCGGGCGGAAAACACCGGTAACAGTCACCCTCATCACTAATAGTCACAGCATACGTGGCAGCAAGAATAGCATCATAATCAAGATCAAAGATAGGAACCCCAGCCCTAGACAGCTCGCCCCAGCGAGGGATCTCAGTGGCCTCAGGGAACTGGTGACGCCAAGCGTCCGTCAGGCGGCCAAAGCAGCGCTGGGTGGAGTGCGCACCCCCACACTGCTCACCCGCGCGGTCGCCTGTGCGTAGGACGTAGGTGCACGGACCAGTACCCCCACCCCGCTGACGTGCAGCGTACCACTCACGAACCGCTCGTGTCGTCTCCTTTCTCACCAAACTCTCCTCTGGCACCACCGCCTTGGTCACCCCTCCCTGCCTCGTCTCCGTGGCATGGCCTCACGTGTCCTGGTCTCTGGTCTCCCCCGGTACCTCCCTCCCCTTCCTCCGGGGCCTGCCCCTACCTGTGTTCCCTGCGTCGAGGGTCGGCAGCGTGCTGCCCCTCACTCCTCCCAGTTTCCTCCTACAGAGGACCCACTCCAGACGCTTCACATAGACGTGTGGGGCCCAGCCCGCGTCCGTGGACAGGGTCACGAGCGCTACTTCCTGCTGGTGGTTGACGACTACTCGCGTTACACCACAGTCTTCCCCTTGCGCAGCAAGGGTGATGTCACTGAGGTGTTGATCGACTGGATCCGCGCAGCTCGTCTCCAGCTCAGGAAGAGTTTCGGCTCGGACTTTCCTGTTCTGTGTCTGCACTCCGACAGAGGCGGAGAGTTCTCCTCTGGCCTCCTTCGAGCCTACTGTCGTGCACGAGGCATCCGCCAGACCTTCACGCTTCCGGACTCTCCACAGCAAAATGGGATTGCTGAGCGCCGCATTGGCATGGTCATGGACGTCGCCCGTACGTCCATGGTGCATGCGGCTGCCCCCCATTTTCTGTGGCCGTTTGCGGTTCGGTACGCGGCGCATCAGATCAACCTTCAGCCCAGGGTCTCCAGGTAGGAGACCTCTCCAGCTTTGCTTTGGACGGGGAAGGTTGGCGATGCGTCTGCGTTTCGTGTCTGGGGATCTCGGGCGTTTGTCCGCGACTTGTCTGCGGACAAGCTGTCCCCTCGTGCTGCTCCCTGCATCTTCCTTGGCTTCCCTCCTGACGCGCCAGGGTGGCAGTTCTACCACCCCACCTCGCGCCGTGTTCTGTCCTCCCAGGACGTCACGTTTGACGAGTCGGTTCCCTACTACCGTCTGTTCCCCTACCGCACTCCGTCCCTCCCCCCGCCTCCGCTCTTCCTTGAGCCAGGTCCCCCCCCGGTAGACCCCCTTCCCCCTCAGGGTCCTGCCCCCTCAGGTGTGTCCCAGGTAGACGCAGTCGAGCCTGTTGAGGTAGCTGTTGAATCTGGTGCTGCTAGGGGTGCTGAGCCTGGGGGTGCTGACTCTGGGGGTGCTGAGCCTGTGGGTGCTACGACTGGGGGTGCTGAGCCTGGGGGTGCTACGACTGGGGGTGCTGAGCCTGGGGGTGCTACGACTGGGGGTGCTGAGCCTGGGGGTGCTACGACTGGGGGTGCTGAGCCTGGGGGTGCTACGCCTGGGGGTGCGGAGCCTGAGGGTGCTGGGCCTGCTCGTGTGGCGTCTGGCGGTGCTGGGCCTGGAGTTTCTCCGGGTGCTTCGTCTTGGCGGGAGCTCCTCTCTCCACAGGAGGTGCGTGAGTGGTTTGCCCGGCGCTGGAGGCGTGCTGCTGGAGCTGGAGGTTCTCCTGCTGCTGAGTGTGCTCGTACCACGGGTCTCGGAGGTGCTCGTACTGGGAGTACTGGAGCTGCTGGGCCTGCATGTACTGCTGGAGCTGGGTCTACTGCGTCTTCTCGTGGTCCGGCTGGAGCTGGAGCTGCTGAGGGTGTTGGCTCTGAGTGTACTGCTGGCGTTACTGGAGGTGGTCCTGCTGGTGGTGCTGCTGGCGCTGCTGGAGGCCCTGGAGCTACTGGAGCTGCTGGGGGTACTGGAGCTGGAGGTGCTGCTGGCGCTGGTGCTACCACTGGGGGTGCTGGTGCTGTCCCTGCTGTTTCTAGAGTAGCTGCGCGGCCTCGGCCGTACTTCGTTCCGCTCCTTGAGCAGGTTCTTGGTCTCCCGCCTTCCACTGGTCCTCCTCCTCCCTTAGAGTGTCCACAGCCTGTTCCGTCGAGTTACAGTTACAGACGGCCTCCCCACTGCCTGCTCCTTCTCCCTACACTCGTCCTACTGGAGGTCTTGCTGAGCGTCGTGAGCCTGCGTCTCGTCCTGCGTCGCCTGTCCGTGCTGCTCGCGCTAGTGGTCGTGGTTCGCGTCACCGTCCTCCCCCTGTCCCCGGCACGCACCGGATGTCTCTCCGTCCGTCCACTGCTCCTCTGCGTGCCCCTTTGCCTTCGCCTCCTGAGTCCTCTCTTCCTGTTCTTGCTGACCCGGAGTCGGACTCCCTTCGTGCTGCCAGTCCTACTGTCACGCGTCTCCTTGCTACTGTTGTCACTGACCCTTCCTTTGAGTCCGCTGCTGCGTCTGCCTTGGTCACTGAGCTCGTCGACTTTGCTGCTCGCTGTCGTCTAGACTACGGTGCTAGTCTTGTTGCTGAGTCTGAGTCTGTCTGTCCTCCGTCCGTCGGGGGTAAGTGTGCCCTTGGCACGGACGTCCTTGAGGACAGGCAGGAGGAGCTCCAGTGTTTGGCTGCTGCTTCACCTCATCTCGTGTCCGTACTGCTAACCCCTGAGGGCGACCTGGATGCACTTGACATCCCGACTCCGCGCTCTTACGCGGAGGCGATAGAGGGTCCCTACTCCTCTCAGTGGCAGGCAGCCATGGACGCAGAGATGGCTTCCTGGAAGTCCACAGGCACCTACGTTGACGAGGTTCCCCCGCCTGGGGTGAACATCGTCAGTGGCATGTGGATTTTCAGGGTGAAGCGGCCGCCGGGTTCTCCGCCTGTCTTCAAGGCGCGTTACGTGGCTCGTGGCTTCAGTTAGCGGCAGGGAGTTGACTACTTTCAGACCTTCTCTCCCACTCCCAAGATGACCACTCTTCGGGTACTGCTGCACATAGCCACTCAGCATGACTACGAGCTTCACTCTCTTGACTTCAGCACTGCTTTCTTGCAGGGCAGCCTGCACGAGGAGATCTGGCTGCGCCGCCCTCCTGGCTTCTCTGGGTCGTTTCCTCCTGGTACCCAGTGGAGCCTCCGGCGGCCAGTCTACGGTCTTCGCCAGGCACCTCGTGAGTGGCACGACACACTGAGGACTACACTTGCGGCTCTTGGGTTTGCTCCTTCTACTGCCGACCCGTCGCTGTTTCTGCGCACCGACACCTCTTTGCTGCCGTTCTACATCCTCGTGTACGTCGACGACTTGGTCTTTGCCACTGCTGACACTGCTGGACTCGTCCACGTGAAGTCGGAGCTGCAGAAGAGACACACGTGCACAGACCTGGGTGAACTGCGCAGCTACCTTGGCTTGCAGATCACCCGGGACAGAGCACAGCGCACCATTACCCTGACTCAGTCACACATGGTGCAGCAGGTCCTTCAGCGCTTCGGCTTCACGTACTCCTCGCCTCAGGCCACTCCTCTGTCTACTCGTCACTCGCTCTCAGCTCTGCCTTCGGATGAGTCCGTAGAGTCGAGTGGCCCGTACCCAGAGCTTGTTGGCTGCCTCATGTACCTGATGACCTGCACACGTCGTGACCTTGCATACCCTCTTAGCATTCTGGCACGCTATGTTGCTCCTGGG